TTAATTTATGCCAATCATTTCATTACTTAATTTATGCATTAATTTGATGATCAATTTTGTAGTACTAATTTGATTGATTGTAAATCGTTTATAGATCAATTTTTGCAGATCTAATTTCAAGGGTAACAATATTGAATCAATAATATCGTGATGATAATGATTTGATATCGAAACATTATCGTAAAGGTATAGATTCTATATCGAATCTATATCATTTGTTATATCGTAACAATAAGGATTCTACATTGAATCTATACCTTTATAATAATGTTTTGATATTGAATCGTTATCATTACAATATGGATTTTACATCGAATCCATATCATTTGTTATATCGTAACAATAAGGATTTTACATCAAATCTATACCTTTATGATAATATTTCGATATCTAATCATTATTATCACAATATTATTGATTCAATATTGCATCGACCTCAATTCGATATTGTTAACCATATCGTAATCTTATTGTAATCATATCGTATCAAAATTGAATTGATAATATCGTAACGATATCAAATCAATATCATTAAGATATGAATATCAATATCAATTCCATATCAATGTGATATTGTTATGATATCAAATCGATATAGATATTGTTAGAATTTTAAGGGTTTTTGTAAAGTAGTCTATATAACGCACTTACAAAACTTGTATCATCCAATGTTTACCTCCATAATTTTATGAGCATACATATAAACTAAAGATGAGAGACGAAACTCAAAAAAGGCAATAAATAAACAGCCGAAACTATATTAAAAACATAGTGAGGGGTACGACGAAATCCTGAAACCTGAAATTAGCCGAAACTATATTAAAAACATAGTAAGGAATATGACAAAATTATTTTGATGGAGTTTCGGCTGGCATCTTTAATATAAACTGTACAGTACAATTAGCTGAACTATATTGTACAAAAGTGATTGTAATCAATCATATGTCATTGTATACTTTTTTTGATTTTATATAATTATTGTATAATGAAATATGATTGGTTGTAATTACTTTCGTACAATACAGTTCAGCTGATCGTACTGTACAGTTTATCTATCTATCTTAATTTTACATCATCATCCATTTTTATTGATTTGCTACATATGATATATGACGATTCAGTATATATTAACTCAATAATCTTTTCATCTTATTTCAGTAAACCCATAATATCAGGTTTCTCTTACATCCTCTCTTTATTTATTCTAAAATTTTGTCAAGTTTTACTTGATAAACTTTGGCGTTCTGCCATACTTAAGCAGATACTATTATTCAGAAGCTCACTTAAACTTACTCGAAGTAAAAGTAATATGATATCTATAACATATGTCTTTTCACTCTGCCTATTACAGGATGTGCTAATCATAAATACAGGATTAATTCATATTTTACTACTAAAAATTATATTAGCTATCATTTCATAAATATTTTCATAAATAATTTAGTAAAATATTTACAATGTATCCAAAATACATTCTATCACTTTCACTATTTCAGTTTCACTTTCTTTTCATCTTTTATCATAAAATTCATTTCTTATAATTATAGATATATTGAAATTATTAAAACCTTTCACAAATCTATTGCACTTAACCACAACTGAATCAGGGAGATTAAACTTTATATTTTCATAAAGATAATTTTCTGTTTACATCCTAAATTTTTTACAATATCAGAGTCATCATTAAGAACTATACTTGCTTCAAAATTTTTTATGTGAAATTAGAAGGGGTAATATTCACTAAATTTTATTTGAAAGAGTCGTAAAGATTTGTATTTAACTCTGATAAAGGATGCTAAGTATATAATTAGTTAATGAAGTTAGCTAGACAAAAAAGCACTGAACTTTCTGATAATTACTTCAAGCTTATACTTTAACGTAAAAAGATTTTGTTCTATTTCTTCTTCAGTACAATCTAGAGATGCTTCTTTTTCTATATTTAGCACCTTTAATACTTTCAACCCATGAATACTAGTATATCCATTCTTCATCTACAGTAGATGCAATAAAAAAGTACTGGTATATTAGCCTATCCTAAATTTATAAATTATAATACAACCTTCATACATGTGTTCTTAGATGTGTTTTAAATAACATTGTTTTGGCTGAATAGTCATATACAGTTAGAGAGAAATAGAAACTCTTAACATCTAAAGGATATTGCTCTTCTGGACTAGCACTTCCTGATCTTTAACTATAACATACCAAAATTAAAAACCACATCTACTATAGGATCATCATTGAATACAGATAAATAATAAAAATCTCATTTATGCCATACCTGTGATAATATTTCTAATACCTTAATTCTTTGACCAAGATCTTCTATTTTAGATAGAGATGAATTGACCACCCAGTTAACTATTTTCCATACTTTGTCATATAGAGGTAGCATATTATCCTCTATTATTAAATAAACCAAGAATGCCTTACAAAGAGTATCAAATAATTCTTGTAATAAAAGAACTTCAATCTTTACTACTAAATTCAACATAGTAAAAAATATTAATAAAAATATACTGATATAATATGAAATTAACAAAATCATAAATAACCATTATTTTACCATCCCTAGTAGCACATAATTCTAATATATATCAGTTTTTGATTAATATAGTTACTCCTAGAGATGTTAAATGGTCTTAAACAGTCCTAAAAGTCCCAATAAATTTGCCAGTTCTAGAGAAGATTTTTATTTTACTGGCATTATATTTTACTTTCTAATGATAATTTATTAATTGAATATTTATTAAAAATATATTAAACTTATGAGGGAACCCAGAATCTTAATTTTTGAAACTTAGGAAGGACCGAGTCCCACCTTAGCGGTCCCATGTTAATTGTCGATTCCAAAGTTCATATTTGTTTTATAAGTTATTCATAAAATTTATTATTACAATAATATCAAGAGTTACTTATTATAGATAAGCGATTAGACTTTTCTATAACTCGTAATTTCAATATTGGTGAAACTGCCGGGAAAATTCAATTCTACTTTATTATGCTAATGCTAAATAAGATTTTTATTTTACCCGGCAGTTTCCCCCTTCTATTGTAATGTGATATTCTGGTAACGCCTAACTGAACTTTTCAGTCATAAGTAAAATGCCTAATCAAAACCTTCCTGCAAATGTTGACGAACTTATTCAGTTCATTTCTGTGAACAGCGATAGTTATGAAACAGTAATTAAACATTTGGCCCCAAGTTTAAAACAAATTCCACAGCCATTCTATTTGCAGGGTACAAGTGACAATAAAGATCCATTGGATGTTTTGGATCAAAACTTTTGTAGCTTACCCTACACTTACTTTCTGTAAGTTTTGGTTTCAACAAATTCTCGTTTAATCCTTCGGAAACTCACAAAGCACTTTATTTACGAAAACAGTGCCGCGCGATGTCAAGCCGATAGACCAAATGTTGCGCGTTTAATTCAACACATTCTTTCGTTTCTGACAGTATTTGACGCGCGTCAAGTTCGATTGGTACCCGATAAATGTAATTTTTTTGGATTTAATTTTATCAAATTCTCAATATTTTTTAGATCTCGAATAGTTCCCATGCTAACTTTGCCTTTTTGTTTCTCACTAGTTCTACAAGTTGCTCAAGGACTGTGTAGATTAACTACTCTTTATGGAAATGTAGGAAATAATTTCAAAGCATCAGTGAGAATATTTATAGTAAAATTTATTTTTAATTCGTATTATCTTATAGGGTGTCATAGCCATAAAACCACTTGCAAATGCACTTCAAAGATATGCACCTACTCCAAATCATCTCACGAATTTGCATCAAATGTTTATTAAGGTATTTTCGAATGATTTACATTTATTATCATCAAGATAATTGCTAAAATCTTTTGTTCAACCGTGTGTTTCTTTATTAAACAGGAATGTTTGTTATCAAGATGTTATAAGCAGGCATTACCAATATTGAAGAATGATATTACTGAAATAGATGTGCCGGTAAGCAATAAAGTTAAATAATATTTGTGATTCTTATTCTTTACAAGTTATTCAAACGATTTAAAACGATTTTTTTTATAGAGCACAGCAATCTTCTATACAGATCATTTGCTATATCATTATTATGGCGCGATGGTTTACATAGGATTAAAGAATTACGAACGTGCTCTTTATTTCTTAAGATTGGTAAGACATTTTTTTTTCTACGATATTATGAGATTTCATTTATTAATAGACCTTTTTTGTTAAGGTTATTTCTGCTCCAGCGAGTGTTACAAGTCAAATTCAAATCGAGGCATATAAAAAGTTTAGTTTAGTATCGCTTCTTTTGCATGGAAAGGTATTAATATTATTAACGTTTTATGATATCTTAATTGAAAAGGCAATTAACACATTTTATTTCATATGCAGATAGCCCACCTTCCCAAATATACTGCTAGTGTAGTTTTCCGTTCAGTAAAAAACCAATGTCAAGCTTATCAAGATTTTGCATCTGCATTTGAGAGCTTAAACGTAAAACGGCTGCGGAACGAATTCGTTAAATGGACTGACATCTTTAGAAAGGTACTAATCAATTTTTATTAAACTTGTTGTGATATTTATTAAATATTCCTTTTAATTATATAGGATAAAAATCTTGGTTTAGCTAAACAAACTCTCAATGCAATTTATCGACGAAACATTCAACAATTGACTCAAACTTATCTGACATTGTCATTGGCCGATATTGCTGATGCAGTGGGTTTAGAGGGACGAGACGCACCAAAAATAGCCGAGAATTATGTCTTAAGAATGGTATTTATTATATCGTTTATTTGTTTGTTGCTTCAAACATTCAAAGATTTTTTATCATAAATAGATCGAATCTCGTGAGATATTTGCTACTATTAGTCACTCTCATCAAAATGGAATGGTATCTTTCCACGATAACCCTGATCGTTATGATACATCATTAACAATTACTCAACTTGAGGAGCAAATAAACAAATCTACCACTGTGAGTGAACGTGTCATTAAAACCGATAGGCTTGTGGGATGTAGCAAAGAATATCTTACAAAGGTAAGGATTTTAATGTTTATTTTTGATTTTGGAATAAAACGTGTTTTTTAATATAAAATTTACGTTTTTAGAGTCAACATATGCTTACTACAGGAGGCGCAATTCCAGGCGGACTTGGTCCTGGTGATGATCCAGATTTCTTGGGAGGTAGTGCTGGTTTTGAGCATTTCATTGATGATGGAAAATACTTTAGTTAAAATAATATATACACATCGCATCGATTATATGCGACTTCTTGAACTTGAATTAAAATAATGAATAATATATTTCTTATAGATAAATAATATTTATTAATTTTAATTGAGCGTGTTATCTCTATAGTGGAATTATTATCACCAATTTCTTGCTAAATATTTGTCGGTAGTAGAATTGATGATTGTTGATTATAATTTAAAAGAATAAGTTAATAAAGAACATGAGAAAATTAATGGACTTCATTATATTATAACATTGTCTTCGAAAATACATTATGTAGTCTATTTCAACAAAAATTACTTTCTCTTTTCTTAGCGTGCCAATAATTTATGCTTTAATGAGGACGAGATATACGTTACTTATTTAGCATTTATAGAATTTCTTAGTTAATTTACCAAAAGAAATCTACAAATTCATGTCGCGTAAATTTTTATTCCGAATGCACTCGAAAATTGTCCTCAATATAATTGTTAACTACTTCTATAGTTTCATTGTACAAAACTTGTTATTTATATGAAAAAAATTAATTTCGTGAATATCGAATAAGGAAATGACAAATTGCAGATCAATTTGATAATCAGTCAGCATTTAAAAAGTTTTTTGAATCAAATTCGAGGAAAATTATTTTATCAGGATGGTAAGATTTTATTAGATTCACTAAAGCTATCTAAGATTGTAGACCACCTCACCTGCAACCAACTCACTCTTCTCTTTTCATAAAACTAACATTAGGGAATGCGTCTGGAAATCAAGGTATATTTTAAGATTGAATTTCGTAGCTTAAATTGAAAAGTGCAAGTACCTATCTAGTGATTCTTTAATTGGTTTTATTACAGCGCAAATTATTTGCCCGTTCAGATCGCGTAAAATGTGTAGATTTCCATCCGACAGAACCATGGTTACTTGCAAGTTTATATAATGGTAATGTATACATTTGGAATTATGAAACACAGGTAATGTATTAATAATTTCTATCACTTCAAAAGAGAGCAATTTAATTTAAAGTGTCAAATGAGCAAAATATTGACGCGTTTTGCATCGTGATTATTAAATTGTGTTCTAAATTTCGTTTCGAAATTTTTAGGCTCTGGTAAAAACTTTTGAGGTTACAGACGTGCCCGGTAATTTTTAAATAACGTTATCCGTTTTATATTAAATTATTATTATAATTAATTTAATATTTTTTAAATAATTTTATATATAGTTCGTGCTGCCAAATTTATTGCTCGCAAGAATTGGTTAATTACCGGATCGGATGATATGCAAATACGGGTTTTTAATTATAATACACACGAAAAAGTTACGACATTCGAGGCTCATCCTGATTATATTCGATGCATTGCAATACATCCTACTCAACCTTTTGTTTTGACCGGTTCAGATGATATGACAATCAAGTTATGGGATTGGGAGAAAGGATGGAAGAATATTCAGGTTTTCCCCCTTATTTATGATCTGAATTTTATTTTTATTTAATTATAATATATATGCAACTTCAAAGCATCACTTTTAAAATAATTTTTAGATATTTGAAGGACATACTCATTATGTCATGAATATCAATTTCAACCCCAAAGACTCGAATACATTTGCTTCAGCTTGTTTGGATCGTACAATTAAAGTATGGTCTATTGGTTCAACTGTAGCGAATTTCACACTAGAGGGTCATGAAAAAGGAGTGAATTGGGTTGAATATTATCATGGTGGCGAAAAACCATATCTAGTATCCGCTGCTGATGATAAGCTTGTTAAGATTTGGGATTATCAAAACAAAACCTGTGTTCAAACTTTAGAAGGACATGCTCAAAATGCCGCATTTGCATGTTTTCATCCGGAACTACCCATTATTATTTCTGGTAGTGAAGATGGCACAGTTAAGATTTGGCATTCAAATACATATCGTCTAGAGAACACCTTAAACTATGGTTTAGAACGCGCTTGGACTGTTGCCTACCAAAAGGGAAATAATAACGTCGCGTTCGGATATGATGAAGGAGCTGTTTGCGTCAAGGTTGATAACTTTTAAGGTCTTTTTTTTTTTAGGAAAAAATTCTCTATTAAAATTTATCGATCGCTAAATAAGATTACTCTTCTTAGTTAGGACGTGAAGAACCGGCTGTCAGTATGGATAATTCTGGAAAAATAATCTGGGCAAAACATAATGAAATTCAAACAGCCAATATCAAAGCTGGTCATGGTATATATCAATAACTCCTGGTACTAACACAGTAATTATTTGACATTTACTTATAAATATTTAAATAAATAACTTTGATAGATGATAACATTAAGGATGGTGATCGTTTACCTTTACCTATTAAAGATTTGGGTAGTTGTGAAGTATACCCTCAAACATTACAACATAGTCCTAATGGAAGGTACAAAAAAAAATATTAAATACGTCAATTTCTATTTTGGAGGATATACTAAAATCCTCTTATTATCAATTATAGATTTGTTGTTGTATGTGGTGATGGCGAATACATCATTTACACAGCACTTGCTTGGAGAAACAAAGGGTTTGGTAATGGTCTTGAATTTGTATGGGCATTGGACTCAAATGAGTAAGTTTATTATTATAATTTATGGATTTATGAATGGAATTGGTTTTTTCAGAATATCCTTATTTTACCTCTTTTAAAATTTATAGATATGCTGTGAGAGAATCTACAACAAAAATTAAACTTTATAAAAACTTTAAGGAAAGACCAAATGCCTTAAAATTGAATTTTATGGCAGAAGGAATTTATGGTGGTACTCTTTTAGGTGTAAAGAGTACTACATATTTGAATTTGTATGATTGGGAAACAGGTTCTATCGTTAGAAGAATTGATGTTATTCCTAAAAGTGTGGGTTGATATATATATTTTTTATTATAAATCGGTTAATATATAAATAAGAAATGCGATTTATTATTATTATTATTATTATTGGTGTTCTATTTGTAGGTACATTGGTCGGATATTGGTGATCTTGTAACCATTGCCTGTGAAGACACTTTTTACGTTTTACGATTTAATCGCCAGTCCTATACAAAATTTTTAGAAAGTGGTGGTGAAATTGGTGATGAAGGTGTTGAACAGGCTTTTGAGTTTGTAACAGAAATTCAAGAAAGGTATAGTTAAATTATTGTTTTATATTTAATTATTTTGACAATTATATTTATTTTCTTTTCATCTTTAGTATCAAAACAGGAACGTGGGTTGGCGATTGTTTTATTTACACCAATACCGTCAATCGTTTGAATTATCTCGTTGGTGCCCAGACATTTACTATTAGTCATTTTGATACGTAAGTAAGATTTCTTATATTTCTTACATTATTCGACAAAATTAGTTATTAAAATTATTTATTATAGAAATATATACTTATTGGGTTACATTCCAAAAGACAACCGTATATATCTGGCCGATAAGGTAATGGTTTTTAGCACACGAACTGTTTTACAAACCCTTTGGGTTTATTTTAATTCTTATGGGTACTTTAATGTTCAATTTGCTTTGGTTCAATTTATTAAGGATGTCAATGTATATAGTTATGCCCTTTCTTTAACCGTTATTGAATATCAAACTGCTATCCTTCGAAATGATCTCGAGACAGCAGAGCAATTGTTTCCTACTGTACCTGCTGACCAAAGGAATCGCATTGCAAGATTCTTAGAAAGCCAAGGTATTTTTTTCTGATTTAAAAATAAAAAGAATAATAAAAAGGTAACATTTAATATCATAAATGTTAAGCAATTTGATGATTATAGACCTCAAGGAGCTTGCTCTTGAAGTTTCAGCTGATGTTGAGCATAAATTTGAGCTTGCCGTCCAACTTAATAAGCTCGATGTTGCTGTTGAAATTGCGCGGGAAGTAAATACCGAAACAAAGTGGAAGACAGTTGGTGATTCCGCTTTAAGTGCTTGGAAGGTAGATTGCTTGTCTTTATGGATTGTTATTATTTTCAAATTTTTTAATCATTTAATTGCCTAAATAGTTTTCACTTGCTGAAGAATGTCTCAAGAAAGCTAAAGATTCAAGTGGCTTACTTTTGTTGTATACTGCCTCTGGTAATGCAAAAGGTATAAGGGAGTTGGCTGAATCAGCTGGTAAGCTAAGTATTATTAAAAAAATTGATACTAATTCATATTATTAATCATTATTTAATGTTTATAAAGTTGCGGATGGAAAGAATAACGTGGCGCTTGCATGCTTTTTGCAACTCGGTCAAGTTGAAGATTGTATAGCTATACTCATAAAAACAGATCGTATCCCAGAAGCAGCAATGTTTGCGCGAACATATCTTCCAAGGTAAACATTTAAATAAATGGATAATTGACATATAAAGGTTACATAATACTATTAATTCTGTATTTTACAGTCATGTTTCAAGAGTTGTTAAATTATGGAAAGAAAGTCTTGAAAAACAAAACAAGAAAAAGGCAGCAGAAGCTTTGGCAGATCCGGCAGATTACGAAAATTTATTCCCGGATTTTAAATATGTAAGTTTCTTTATTATTGAAAAAATACAATTAGTTCATCATATTAAACCTATTATTTTATTACTTTGTGATATATATACAGGCGCTCATTGCCGAAGAACTATCCAAGAAAGCTCGAAATACTGCTATTCCTGCTACATCATACACAGAATACAAAGATTCGCTTGATCAAGATATTATTGCTGGTATATAAAGTTTCCGAAAATTGCTTTACCCAGGTTTAATTAAATATTATTAATAAATTTTATTTATTGTTTTCTTATTATCAACAGGAGTCAAAGAAAAATATCCTGAAGGAGTTTTACCAACCAACTTATCATCTCCTTTACATAGTCGTCTTGTGAACAGTATAGCAAGGAAAAATGTGAATGGCGAAATGGATGATGATGTATGTGGTTTATAATTGAACACGATTACTCATAACGTAGACACATTTATTTATTTATTTACTTTCTTAGGTTCTTTCGTCGGTAGCGTCTGTTGATGACGATCGCACAAGCATTGCTGATAATATGAGCCTTTTGAGTATGGAAGGTAAGTATTACATTTACTTTCTTGTTTTTCTTATTATGTATTTTAACTTATTATGATTATTATACATTTTAGTAAACACGACGGGTACTGGATCAGTTCGTGTAAGTCTGTTTGTCAACTTTAATTTTCACAGATTACAAATTTTGAAAGAAAAATTTAATGTGATTTTTTCATTTTTTTATTGATTAGGGAGATGTTGACTTTGATGATGCTGCGTCATTTGCTACATCTGAACACGAACGTCCGAGTGATAATTTAGTTTTCGAAGAGAAGGAATTGGAAAGTTAATATGTTTGAAATTATTTATGAAAATAATAATTATTAATAACCATTTGTAATTTTTTTTCTTTGAATAATAATTTTTAATTATTTGGGTTTAACATTATTTTAATTATTATTTATTTATTTATGAATATTTTGGGATCGTAATTACATTTATGTATTATAATGAGATACATATTAGAAACAAAAAAAAAAAAAAAAAAAAAATCCAAAATAAAGTCTAGACAATTATTATTTGATATATATAAAAAAAAAATTTATAGCATTAGATAATGATTGGTATGAACAATATTACAAGTGTCCGATTGAGTAAATAATAAATAATCCATGCAAAATAATTATATTACTAAAAAACATCTCTAGCAGGTTCTCTACCATTAATAGGAACGTCATTAGCATGTAAGCCCATTTGAATTGATGAAATTTTTTCTAATAATTTTTTGAATGCATTCATAACAATATCTTCAGGTTTCATAGAACCAATTGTCTAAACAAAATAAAAATGATGAATGTGATTTAATAATTAATTTAAAATATCATTGTTCAATTTGTTGAAACCAACCTCAATTTCAAAATAAAACCTATTTGGTTTTGCAGTAAAATCAAAAACTAGAAAGGAAAAATTGATTCGTAAATAAATGAGTAAATTAATCTCAATAATCCAATAGTAAAAGTAATTAATTACTTTCGTCATCCAAAGGAGGAAAATCATCTCCAGCATTTTTACTTGGTGGCCTATAAATTAAAATTACAAAATATTAAAAAAAGAAACATTTAAAATTAATAATAGTATAATCGAGGTTTAGCTTTGATAATCATACCATTCCTTTTTTTCCTCCTCCTCTTTCCAATAATGAGTGTGTCTAAGCTTATTAAAAGGATCATATTCAAAAGCAACTGCAGCACATGGGCTCCATTTAGCATGTTCCTTTGCCACTCCCTAGAACAAGAATATATTGTTAAGAAATTTTAAATAATGAAATCAATATAAAAAAAAGATTACCTTTTTGGCAATGCATTTAACTTTAATTTCTTGTCCTTTACGAAGTTTTGCAATTAGAATACCCGCATCTTTTGGGCCCTCCGCAATCGGTGTAAAACGCGGATCATGGCTAACAAGATCTTTGCTAGTCACATCCTTTGTAGTATCTTCTTCGGTACATTTAACATGTAGGTTCAATTCCACACTACATTCTTTACATGCTCCACTACAATTACAATCCTTTTAAAGAATTTACGTAAGTATTAAACTAACAGAAATTTAAACAAAACTGAATAATACATACCCGAGGATATTTAATTTTATCAGCCTCAGTACTATCTAATGGTATTAATCCTAATCTATGGGCAATAAATTCATCAGCCAAAACAGACGTATTGAGATCGAATTGGACCATATCAATAGCTGTTAAATGAACGAAAGCAATTAAAATAATAATTTTCAAATTTTAAAAACAAACATTCATATACCTATTGTTGCAACTTCGGATATCATTATACGTCTCAGGGCGTTTGCCATGCTAAATTTAAATGAAAGATTAAAATTTTGTAAGTCATCTCTGAAAATAATAAATTATTATGTTTTTGGATAATATTTTCTATATCACCTCAAATCTGTGTTTGTAAGTATAAACCTAATACGTTCCCCGGTTAGTTCTTGAATTCTAATCTCTGGCTTATTCGCAGGACCAAATAAATCCATTTTATTTAAATTAAAGCAAAAAATTTTTAAAAACACGAAAAATGGACCGGCTAAACGCGTTTGACCTTTTTTTTTGTTATATATTATCTAAAAAGGTGTCCGTACCCAGGCCAGGGGTCATTATACGTCACACCATAAATTTCACTTACGTATCGAATAAGTGATATAAAGTTATATTAAATTCGGTAATTTTTATAAAATATGTAATATATTATCTTTTAATTATATAATAAAAAAATTTATTTTAATAATTTATAACAATCATTAACATTTACTTATTACAGTATAAATCATAATTAGGGTTGGTAAAATCCTAATAAGTCCTAATTGCTCTTAAAGAATTTAAAGAAAATTTTGATTTATATACTTTTAATTAAATTTTTTTAATAATAAATATATCTTTTTAATAATTATTATACATATTAATTTAAAATAAAAAAATTCTTTTAAAATTAGAAATATACTTAATTTAGGATCAGATCCTAGGACTTAGGTCCTAAATCTAAAATTTTAAAGATATTTTAAAAATTTTAAAAGAAATTTTTAATTAAAAAATTGATTAAAATAATAATATTTAAATAAATTTAATCTTTAAAACTTAAGGACCAATTAGGATCAATTAGAACTTTTACCAAATATAAAATTATAAAATTTATCACAAAAAATAAAATTTTAAATTTAATTTTAAAACAAAATCTCTAAAATAAGTATTAACAAAGTTGATAAAATATAAATTAAGCTATATTTTTTTATATTAATAATAAAGCTATATAGTGATACCAAATATCATATTCAAATTCAGTATATGAAGATATAAAAACATCAGTTTAAAACTATAAAAAAATTTTTTAATATGCATTACAGTAAAAATATGTTTACTTTTGATTAAATATAAATTAAAACTATAGTTTATAATCCTAAAAACAGGATCTTCTCAGAATTCTAATAGATAGAATCCTGACGGATTATAATTCTGATATGTATAAATCTGATAAGAATGAAATCCTGACCAATTGATATTCCAAAATTCTAATATTCCAAATAGTTTGTGATCCTAATAATAGAGATCCTGAAAGATCATGATCTCAAATGTTTCATATCCTGAAAGATTATAATCCCAAATGTTTCATATCCTAAAAGATCATGATCACAATATTTAAGATCCCGACAGTTCATAAGATAATCATAAAATATATTAATAAATTAGTAACAGAGTTCAAAAAATCAATGAAAAATGATTTGTGATTCCTATACTATGTTATTTCACTTGATTAAAATATTTATTTACCTGCATAGATTGTTTTTATTTTCTTAATCATTATTTTAAATCTTTTGTTTTTTTGAACTTAAAACCTTAGTTTTCTTTACTATAATATTTTATTAATCTAACCTATTGTAAAAATGGATGAGGTTTGTGAATTATACCATTGAAAAAAGAAAATAATAAAATCAAAGTTCATGAATATTTGATGGTAAAGGAATGAAGCTGTGAAAACATATTTTACTGATGTTGTGAAAAATGAAATCAGAAGGATGTAAAAGCTGTATAGCAATAAATTTATGTAATAACTTGCATTACTTTTGAAGTTGTGTTAATCATAACTATAGACTCATGCAAGTAATGTTGAGTCATGAAAATTACCATTCAGATAAAAAGTCAAGCCTTTGAAACAAAAAATAAACTTGCAAAAATAATTCAAGATAATATTATTAGTATGCCGGAGGAAATTCATCCTTATATTCCTTTAATTAACACTTTTTGTAAAACAATTAGCTGTCTTAGAAGATTGGAAATGCCATCACAACCACAAAATATTTCTGAAGTTAACATATCAGAATCCCTTTGTTTTACTTTAAATAGTAATTTTTTCTTAGTTAAAGATCATATGGTTGATCAAGAACGAATCCTTATATTTACTATAAGTGAAAATATCAGACTTATCTAGTGCGTTATTTTGGATAATGGATAGCACATTTAAAACTGTTTCTACAATCTTTCATCAAATGTATACAATTTATGCATCTGTTAGTGCTAAAGACAATTCTAGAATTCTTTCACTAGTATATATGCTAATGACTCGTAAATCTGAAAAGCAATATAAGTAATTTAATATTCGAGAACTTAATTGAATTTGCTAAAGAAAATAAGATTTAATTAAAACCATCAAGTATTATTACTGATTTTGAATTAGCAACAATTAATATGTTATATTGCAAATTTTTAGATGTTAATAATAAGGAATGTTTTTTCCATCTTGGTCAAAATGGGTGGTGAAAAATACAAAATTGTGGACTAGCAGTTCAATATGAAAATGATAAGCATTTTAGTATTATGTTACACCATTTATTTGCATTAGCCTTTTACCTCCACATGAGATTCCCACTGTATTTGATATTTCAAAACAAGAAATGTCTTCAGAAACAAATATTCTGATGCAATAATTTGAAGACAATTATGTTCATGAAAGAATTCGATGAGAAATGCAAAATGGTTATATAATTTATTCTGCATCTTTTTTTTCACCACAATTATGGTTAATGTATTATTCTATTGAATTTGAAATTTTGAGAACTCAAAATATTGTTGAGACTTGGCACCGTCATTAGAAAACTTTAGTTGGTAGATCTCATATAGGACTTTTTATTATTATTAATGAAATACAAAAGAATAACAGTAAGTTAAACTTCAAATTGAATGTATTCTCTATGAAGAACAACAAAAAAAGCAAAAAGAGTTTTAATTGAAAAAAAAAGTAGGATTAGTAAGATTATATCAATTATTAATAACTGAAATGACTATTCATTAATGAAATTTCTTCACAAAATTGCCCATAACCTTTCTATATAATTAATTATTGGTGTTAATTTTATATAGTTATATGTGAATGGTATAAATAAAAATGTTTAAGCTAATATTTTTTAATAAAATATCATCTACTTTGTAATACAAAGTTATTATACTATAAAGTAAATTATTTATTTTAAATTTAAAATGAAAAGTACTAATGCTAATTATAATATAATAATATATAGTCACACCTTAATATAACGAAGTTAGCATTCAGACTGATCAGCCCTTTGTTATAAAAAAATTCATTATTATTATAATGAAAGTTTTGGTATAGTATAACGAATTATTCGGTATAATAAATGATTACTGAAAAAGGAAAATACAAATATAATTTTATTATGATATAATTAAAGTTAATTTTATAATGTCATTTTATAGAATAATCTTTCTGTGATTAAAGTTAAAGTGATCTTGAAGCAAATTTATTAATGCAAAATTGGAATTAATCTTAAATAAAACAATTTATAATGATAAATATAAATTTATTTTTAAAAGTTTTGAGATCTCTT